AAGGAGAAACGAGGATGGAAAATCCTGAGAGAGCTGTCTACTCCAACACCAGAGAGAGAGAGAAATGGGGTTTAACGTCCACTCGACACAAACTAGGTCATTTCGGGACTAACATACGGTTTAAATATATTTACATAATTCGCTTGCGCGTAGGGGTCTTTAGCAGTTGGAGGAAACCGGAGGTCCCGGAGAAAACCCACGAGGTTGGACAGGCGACCCTACTCCTTGTCACGTACAACTGGGGATTCGAAACCACGCCAGTCGACTCAATGACAGACTTTATGACACAGCGCGCGCACGCTAACCATTCAGCCATCCAACCCTCCCTCCAACACCAGGACTTCATAGTTAGAGACCAAGCTCATATATATTGGCCCACTGTGACTCTGAGACTGAATTTTACAACAGTAGCATTATCAAAATGCACCATTATTTTGTTTTCTTCGCTAATTCAATACTGACAATTTTGTGATTTGTGGACAATAAGTTTTTCTTTACACAATTAAACTACAAAAATCAGGTATTTTTACAAAAATAACATTATTAAAATACAAGCACAATTATTTCTTTACTGATTAGATACTGAAAATTTAGTGATTTGTGGACAATGAGGTTTTTTAATAAACAATTACACCACCAATATCAGGTAATACCTACTTCAAGATAACCTCACTGACTTAACACCACAAACAAAATCAAATTATTTAATAAGATACAATTGAGATAGTTTGATAAAGACAAGAGCCATGGAATGATAAAACACCTGTATTGAATATCCGGCCCTTAATCTTCTCTTTATCTCATTATAATGACTAGTTCTATTATTTCTAAAGGTGTCAATGAGGTATACTTAAAGATAAAGGCACCTCCAGTCATTTGTCGTGTTTTTTGATCAGTGATATAGAACTAGATCTAATGATACTGGTTGATTGTTGGAGTCTATCTCTTTAGGTCGTATTGTGTAAGCCCCTATTAACCAGGCCTTGATTGCCTATATCATACTTTATGAAGCTGTTCTTGATGACAGGGACTATAGTCTTATATATCAACTAATATTTAACCATGGTTACAGATCAATACTTCAATAGAAATTATTTAAATTTAAACAACTTCTTGCCTTAAGTACTAAGATGTTCAACTCTGATAGATATACCCTGGTATAACGAGGTGACTCTTGGTGATAAGTTTAAGAAATCCCGCCTAAATTAAGCCGCGGGAGAGAAAACTGATTGAACATCGATAAACAAAATAAAAGTAACAGATTTAAATATTTGCAACATGACAATTGTTGAATTTAACCCATGCAGTTTTCTCAATATTCATTTTTTACATTTCATTGAATCTGATTTAAAGCACAGTGTAGCCTTCAAAACCTTTGTATGAATTCTGAAAAAAAAAACGGCAATGATTTTTTCAAGTCTTACCATATGTAAAGTACTTCATAAAATATGAAACTTGATCTGAACACAGAAAAATCACCCTCTATCGTATTGAACCAAAGATGACATAAAGATGAAAAATAAAAAATATTGATACAACTACAGATATATCTTTATTCAAAATAATATGATTTACTGCATGTATATAGGCGTATCAATGGAAAAAAAAGATCTACAAACAAAAAATCATGATATGACATGACAGTATAAAACACAAGGTGAGCTGACCATCAGAGATCACCACGTCACTAAGATATCCATCAATAACATGACATTTATAGAACAAGATATTTCTCCTGTCATCTTTGATCCGTGTAAATGGTAACAACGTGATTCGTGTTCATCAATATATCAAACTTATCGCGGTTTATTTATTATTATAACAAAATTGGAGAGCTTTTTCAGTCCAAGTGATTGACAGAGCTTTGATTTATGCAATCAAAACTCTGCAAATGCATTATGATTTTTTGCACTATGATTATTTTGAGATTTTTTTCATTGCTATTTTGGACTTCAGTTGTGATTTGTTTTCTACCAGAACTGTTTACTTTGGACTTATAATTGTATTGTACTTTTATTGTTCGATTGTTTTTTTGGTACTTGAATGTACTTGAATTGTTTACTTTGTCTTTGAATTGTTAACTTTGCATTTGTTTGTTTTGTACTTGATTTGATTATTTTGTACTTGAATTGTTCGTGTTGTATTTGTTTTGTACTTGATTTCTTTGTTTTGTACTTGAATTGTTTACTTTGTACTTGAGAGAGAGAGAGAGGGAAATTGGGTTTAACGTCCACTCGACACAAACCAGGTCATTTCAGGACTAACATATGGTTTAATTTTATTTCAATAATTCGTTTGTGCGTAGAGGTCTTTAGCAGTGGGAGGAAACCGGAGGGTCTGGAGAAAACCCACGAGGTTGGACAGGCGACCCTACTCCTAGTCATGTACAACCAGGTATTTGAAACCACGCCAGTTGACTCATTGACATGCCTTATGATACAGCATGCACGTGCTAACCATTCGGCCATCCAACCCCCCTACTTTGTAATTGAATTTTTTATTTTATACTTGAATTGTTTGTTTTGTACTTGAATTGTTTTATTTTGTACTTGAATTGTTTTGTTTTGTACTACTTGAATTGTTTACTTTATACTTGAATTGTTCGTCTTGTATTTGAATTGTTTGTCTTTAACTTGAATTGTTTGGTTTTGTACCTGATGTTTTATTTTGTAATTGATTTATATTTGAACATGATTTTACACTTGATTTTGATTCATCGTGCACAATGTATTAGGTATTCAATTTTACACTTGATTTTGATAAATTGTGCACAACGTACTAGGTATTACATTTTACACTTGATTTGTTGGTGGAGTAAAAGGTCCACACCTTAAAAGAATTGTTTTCTTCTATCTTCAGCATTACAAAAGAACACTTTTTATATTTCCATATTGTCAAAAAATTTAAAAAGATAAGAAGGAAGCACCTTTTGTCATTTTTGCAGATTCAATACATTAATGTTACTTTGATATCCTTAATCCTTCGTGCTTTAGCAGAGAATTTCTACTTTCATTTACATCTGATCAAATAATCTGTCAACAGATCAATCTCGATGTGTCAATAATATATTTATTATTAATAAAACTGCACATGGAAATTCACTTTCAATCTTTTAATGAAAGGGATCTGAAGAGCAACTTAAGATTGGAAATCTGTCATTGTCAATGCATATATTCAATATTTCAATATCAACATTTGTGTATTTAGGGAGTTGAATAAAAATGTGGCAATAATTTCTACCTGTATTCAGTAAATGTAAATTAGCTCATTATTATGTGAAACATTATTGGAAAAAGCTATCATATCAAATATAGAAACATTTCATCAATAACTGATAGAATGAGAGAATTTTGGCATCAAAAATAAATACAGAATTTTGGTTTCAGTTAAAGCCTCTGCTCTTCATTGCATTATTCAGGCACTATGTAATATTTCACGGCTTAATCCATGATCATAAAGCTGCTGATGAAAGCTGGAGATGAATTTATATAAGCTATGGCTTGTTTTCAGATCCACAATATCAGTATTGTAAATAATCATGAAATAAAATAAATAATAAAATATTGTTTAAACCAAAGCTGCCGATAGTCATTTGCATTTTCGGACATGATTTAATTTTGTATGATTTAATTCATGCTAATGATTTAATTGATTACTTAACAAATAATTAAACAAAGAAAAGCAAAATATCAAGGGTAGATCATTTCCCAGATTGGACCCATCTAACGGTTTTACTGAACACTTAATAATGGCACTAGCTTGTTTATGAATGTTAGCGAAATTTTCAATTATTATACTAAATGGAATAAAACATTTTTGTACTGATATTACTTTTAGAGATTCAACTTTCACAATAGTTTACAAAGGATTACTAAATGTGGTAACTGAAATGATATGACTTCAGATAATATTAGCTGTTATGTTTTCTTTAGATCAATTCATATTAACTCATGTACTCTATTCAAGTATTCACAAATCTTTAAACTATTTATTTAATTTGTTTAATTTGAACTCATTGCAAAACACTTAAATACACTGCAAACATAGAAAGAAAAGTGATCTTCATTGAGCCTAAAAAGCTTCCAGACAAAAAATAACTTGTACATTTGATTAGAGAGACAGGCTTTTAGAATTTTTTAGAATTTGAATAGCAGAGAGAGAGAGAGAGCAGAGAGAGAGAGAGGGAGAGAGTTTAACTCCACTTGATGCAAACTATGACATTTCGGGACTAACACATGGTTCAATTTTTTTTTAAAATTCACTTGCACATAGAGGTCTTCAGCAGTGAGACGAAACCAGAAGACCAGTGATAAAACCCACAATGTTGGACAGGCAACCCTATTCCTCGTCAAGTATATTCTGTGAATTGAACCCATGCCACTTGATTCAATGACAGACCTTTTGATCTAAAGCACAAACTGACAAACCAGTTGTTGTTCAGAACAAAACAATTATAAAGTTTTATACCCAAACTACGATTCAATATATAAATCAATAAACAAGTTTTGTCAGGGTTATGATTTGTTTTTTTCTGATGGAACACCTATTATTTTACCTACTAACATCAATATGTCATGGTGAAATTGATTTGCTGCCAACTCGACCTTAATCCATCTTTGACGGTAGACTATTGCCTTAAGGTTCTACTATATTTTTTTTTCATGAGCATATTTATACTTTTAGGTATAAAAATGATCAGATGAATACACAAAAATATCTATTCTAGCAATTTGTTTATTCCGAAAAAAAAATATCATCAACCCAAAAGTCTCCTTTCTGATGCTGTGACATGGCTGTAAGTGGAACAAACTAAAATATGATGGTTCCAAAAACCAAGGTGATACGAGAGAGGGATAAAAATTAATTCTAGTATTTTGTTTTCTCAAAAATCTTATTGTTCAAAATGAAAACAAAAAGAACACAATCTTTTCTGATACACGGACAAGGGTAACAAACTAAATTAAGACAAGGAGAGAAGTAAGTGTAGCTTGTCACGCACTGTCAAAATGAGACCTTTGCTGTCTTTGTGTCCAGTCTTCAATGTGATCTAATTTCAGACCCAATTTCCCTACTAAAGCATCAGGTTTATTTTTAGTTTGAATCTACCATTTAATCAGAGATCAAGTGTGTGCTGGGTGAATGTGGTTGAAATTTTAATGAAGTATTGAGTCATTTTAGATCAATGGGATTAAGTCTCCACGTCTGCTTAGAATATAAAGAGTGGTCTCCCTTTTCTTCTTCATCTGTCAAGACTGTCAAACAATCACTAGTTTGAAACGTACTATAAAAGCTAGGTTAGGGTAAACCTTGAGTGCTTGAACTAATGAATGAAAACTGTCTTATCAAAAGAATTTACACTAAAATACTAAGAAAGGATTGTTGAAAGATCACAAGAGGGACCTTGAATGCTGTTACAAAACGAGGCGTTGTTTTTAAACTAGTAAAGAACCACTAAATGAATCCTTGAAAAACAGATAAAGAATCTTGAGGTTTAACTTCCACAGCAACAAACAGGAAATCCGGAAGGAAAACTACTGTTTTGTTGAGCAGATTTTTTTTAGAAATTCCATATATTTGAATTCAAATTAATAAAGTCTCTGAATTTAATGCATTGATTTTGAACATTCTAAAACAAATAATGTCAGAAAATTGATTGATCTCTTAAATTAAAATGTGGTTTAATTTCTCACATTTTTTGTCTAATACCCATCCATCACAAAGCTATCTATCTAAAAAACATATATATATATATATATATGGTTATGAATCTTTATTTATGCTTGCAGGGTTTTTTTATTCAAAGAAACCAACAGAGGAGGGATTTTGGGTGGACAAGTGGTCCAATGCATGTACTTTTGATCATAAAATCCTTCAGTGATTCGATTCCCAAACAAGGACAGCTGTCTAGTTGTTTAGATGGGACAAAAAGCAAGGTCCTGTGTACACATTGGAGTGCTCGTAAAAGATCCTTTGGCAGTTGGAATTCAATATAAGAGTAGGCTGTGGTGCCGCTGTTCTAGCAAAATTTCCATCCTAAAGACTTCTAGCGAATTATTGAAATAAAAATTACCATATGTTATGCTCTAAATGACCTAGTCTGTGTCGAATGGACGTTAAACTCTCTCACTCATTTCTCCAATACAGGAATAGTTCTTTGGTATAAAATTAATATAACTCTGTACAACTGATTTAACAAGACCCTCTGCTGTCAGTCTTAGCTAAAGACTTCAATTGACTGACATTTTGAACTTTTATGCAATGCAATCATTATATTGGTTTGATCCAATAACACAGCAATCAAAGACTAATGATAATCAACCACAAGGATGTTTCAATGACGTAATCTGTAGTCTGATATTTGGATTACAGACAGGGATATATCTAATATAAAGTTTACTTTCAAATAGAATAGGATAAATGTCAATGTGCTGTCTTATTATTCATGATTAATTTCATCTTTAATATCATCAAACAACTAGTTCAATCATCTGACATGTTGAAAAGGTCAAGATTAAAACATCTGATATTTTGAAAAGGTCGAGATTAAAACATCTTCTATTTTGAAAAGGTTGGGATTCACTAATTAAGCTACAACATAAATTTACATAAATGAATAATTATTAAAGTGACCATAAATATGTTGCTTTTTTATTGTAAACTACATGTACAGTCCTCTTGTTTGTAACAGGACTCTTGTTTTAGATAAATTTACCAGTCTTGAAAGACTGACAGTGAAAATGACCAGTTGCAGTATTTATCTGTCAGTCAATTTACATGCCATTAAAATTAGAATTTCAAAGAGAAAAGAGAGAGAGAGAGAGAGAGAGGGTTTAACGTCCACTCAACACAAACCAGGCCATTGTGGGACTAACATATCACTTGCACGTAGGGGTCTCTAGCAGTGGGAGGAAACTGAAGAACCCAGAGAAAACCCACAAGGTTGGACAGACGACCCTACTCCTTGTCACGTACAAACGCGATTCAAAACCACGTCACTTGACTCAATGATAGACCTTATGATGCAACACGCAAGTGTTAACCATTCAGGCACCCAACCCCCCAGAATTTTAAAAAATTTAACATTGAAACACAGCAAATACAGTTTATGTGTGTAAGTACACTAAATAAATAAATATAAAAAAGTGGGATTATGCTAAATATTGGAAATCTGAAGCAAAAAAAAAAAAATATCCAAAATTGACTGAAAGTCCTGATTTGTACCATAAGTATTTTTCAAAGATTTATATCATTTTGTTTAAGACATATGTCTACATTATTGTGCCTTAAAAGATATCATTTATAATTTTTAGGAGAATATGACATACACTTTTTGGGTCTAATCTTCTTATTTACATTAGCTAATACATTTTAATTTCCTATAATTTAGATAATAAGCTTGTTTTATTGGTCAACTCGAAGGCAATTCTTTTAAATGATTATTTTTTAAAGTATGAACACAGAACACTTTTATAAATCTTGTTTTAATATCAATCAGTTTTGTGGACTAACCTTCTGATCTACATCAGCTGATACATTTTATTTTTCTATATTTTATTAACCAACTCGATTGTAATTCTTTTAATAGTTTGTATTTTAAAGGTTTTCCTCCACAGTATGAACACAGAATACTTTTGTAACTCTAGTTTTAGTATCGATTAGTTTTTATAATACCTATTCTTGATGACTTAGTAACACCCTACTTATATGTATGTTTTAGTACAAACATTAGTTGACATACTACCCTAGTGAATACAAAAATCATCTAAATAAGATCTATAGATATCAAGTGATGTGCATTTAATAGGATTAAATATAGAACACGATAAGTAAAATACCTGACATGAAATGGTGTGAATCTAATGATCTTGTACAATATATGTTTTTACACTCCCTCGTAAATTTACATGTAAGATCACCTCCTTCATACTGATCTAAAGTCAAGTGGTACATATATCATTTATTACTTAATTCTACTTCATTTAATCTTCAAATATCTGTACACCAACATAAACCTACAAATCAAGCCCGCTTTTATTATTACTCCTACAAATCAAACCCTCAAATATATACATTAATCCTACAAATTAAAATCTTGAATACTCCTACATAAACCTACAAATATCTAAACATACACCTACATAAACCTACAAATATCTACATATACTCCTACATGAACCTACAAATATCTACATATACTCCTACATAAACCTACAAATATCTACATATACTCCTACATAAACCTACAAATATCTACATATACTCCTACAAATATCTACATATACTCCTACAAATATCTACATATACTCCTACATGAACCTACAAATATCTACATATATTCCTACATAAACCTACAAATATCAAGCCCTCGACTGATTATGTTTTTCATTGGTAGATTTAAAAAATCAAAAGGACTTAACATGAAAATAAGTTCTGTAAATAAGACCGCTTGTAACAAAATATTAAAAGCAACTCTACGATGGAATAATTTCTCTTTATGTTCGTGAGATACCATTTCTTTTTCATTCCAACCATTTATGACAAATTTAACTCGCTGGATATCGTGATTTACCTTCAGTTTAAGATCAATATTGCTTTCTCTCATTTATTAATCTCCAAATAAAAAGAGCTCAAAGTCATGGTCCTATGAAAGGATCAAAGTCAAACCAATACAAGAAACTTTCTTTACAAACCTCTTCAACGATCCCATGAGAACGTAATTAGATTGAAAAGTCTCATAGATCTTTAATTCAATGATAGGCATTCTTTTTTTTTTGTTTGACATAATGTTTTAAATCTGAATCGATTAAAATTTTGAAGAATGTCCTTTTCAAGACAAAAATGTCCCGATACAAAAGCACAGCTATCATTTTTGTTGGTTATGTGGACCTCAATTTTCGAATTTTCGAGATTGCTGTGGCAGTAATTACATTTATTTTGCTGTCAATCCAAACTTTTGTACACCAGATGATTCGTAAATAAAGGATGTTTGCTTCAATGAAATAAAACATTTTTGAAGAGAAATCGGAAACATGTAAGATCTTTAAAGGTAGAAAACTACATACCTTTGAAAGAACTCTTAAAGATACATTATGGGAGATTAGATAAAGTTGGTAGTTCTCACAATAATAGATAAAAACTAGATAATGTAATGGAAATTTGCTGAAAATTTCAGTCAAATTGATCCACCCTGAACCGAGTATTTAGCGATTGAATTGGTTCAAATCCAGTAAATATTGCAGGCTAGCGATGTCATCAAGAGTTATTTATGGTCTGAATAAGTTAATAAATGTCTAATTAATAATTTAGATAACGTTTCAGACCTGCAAATGGCAGATTTAGCTCTTGCATAATGTATGTTTAATAGCTGGAATAAAATGAAATGAAAAGAAATGAGATTTAATGTCCTACTGTTCTGCTTCAACTAGGCTAATGAAAACGGCACATAGTTGGCTATGAGGGAAATCTTGTCTGGACAGTGGCGTTTCAGCCTACTTTTGTATCAAATTCCAACTGCAAAAGAATCTTTTACGTGCATGCCAATGTGGACACGGGACCTCAGTTTTTTTTATCCCATCTGAACGACTATACGTTGTCCCTTGCCAGGCCCCTTTTTCTGCACGACTGGCAAGGGGAAACCACTTCGGAAAATCCTGATGAACTTTTTCGAGATCGAACCTGCGATCTTCAGGCTAGCGAGCCAGCGTCTTACTCACTTTGCCACCCTTAACAATTGGAATAAGATGAAGAGAAGGAGGAAATAACTCCCATGTTACACTATGTGGTGTATGCTTCTCTTCATACTCCCATATTTGGTGCAGAAAAGTAGGACATTAAACCTCTTTTCACCTATTCACTAAAATTTGTTATGTTAGTATTTAAATAAGCATTATAAGTCTATCAATCACTCATTTATATGACAAAACTGCATAATAAAAAAATACCACAGAATAAATTATAGTGCATGTATTTAAAAACTGTATTCTTTAACAGCCACTAGAAAATAAACTGAGGTCAAAGAATTGATAA